CAAACAAACAAACAAACAATAAATACACAAAGGCTGGCGTATAATATTTATTTTTCAACATGACAAAGTATATGAACTAAGCCTTAAGAGAGGCCTACACAAAACCAGGTCCAAGCTCAAGTGGACAACAATACATCACAATAATACTCTACACGTCATATAGTAGTATTACATTTACATTATTTACACACGTATTCCACCAATAGGATCTGGGATTACTTAATTAAAAGGATTAAGTGAAACCACTAAGACAGAGAGAAACATAATAATATTTCTGTTTTAATCAACCAAATGAGCATTTTTTGTGTGTTTCTTAAGTAAGACTGAAGAGTAACGGATATTTATAAACTAAGAGAAAAAAAAAATTCACAATATAATGGAACTGTACAAGATGTAAATGGGTCAAACCGATTGCACAAACCCGAATACGGGTATCCTCTATATTCTGTTAATAAAAAATAACAAAATATGACATTATTTCATTCTTCTAAAGTTGAATTATCTCTCTTTATATAGCTGTAAAGAATGGAATGACATATCTTGGTCCTGTAATTTAAATCCAGACATTTTTACTCCAAAATCTTACAAAAAAAAAATTAAATGACTCCCCAAGTCTACTTTCCAACGTTGTAACCTATGTATGTCACCATTCTACATAATACTAAAAGAAGGAATCCACTAACAACGAGAAATACTACCTAGCTTTACAGTGATTAGCCAATACTGGAGGCTTATATCCAGCCGCTAGGGGGACACATCACAAAAAACAAAATCCAGGTACCTAAAGACTTTTTACACACCTTAGAGATGATCAGAAAAAATTGTAAGAAGACAGTAGCGTAATGTATTCACACAGCCCTGAGATATGCACGTGCACGTTTCAGTTACACGACACACACGACACTTTGAATAGATGTAATTATCTAGAGAAGTAGATTATAATTTCACACATTAGGATACTTAAATATCTTGTTACACCAATAACTTAAAGTTAATATAATGTCGGTACATATATATATATTCAAAGAGATATGGTGTATTAGATGTCTCCTTCCGCGCTAGTTCGGACTCTTTTAGAACACCACAATTCTGACTGCCATGCTTTGCTATTTTACAGTTCGCATCCTAAAAGACCGATTTTTTTTATATATATATTTTTTTGCCACCAGGCTCCATCGGAAATCGATGTCTCTTTACATTACAAAGAAGGAATTTCATCTTCTTTCACAGAGTCTATCAAGATTCATCAGAAACTTTTCGGAGGCCTTTCAACTCTTCTTTCTGTGAATTTCAATTAACTGTATGCTTTAATATTTTGGAACATCTTTTAAACTTTTGATAAAGCCAACTGCTCACGAAAGGCAAACAATTAAACGTGACTCTAACGCCACGTTGGTAGCTCAAAACAATAAAATCAGGTGGTGAAAAAAAAAATGTTGAAGCTTGAAACTGAAATTTTCAAGTGCAGGCATTAATGATTACGATAAGAATGAAGCACTTGGCTGAGGAAACCCTAAGGATGAAAAGAAGAGGTTACGTGAGAAAACTAACAGTTACGTATAAGCAATATACGTCATAGTTTTCTATGTTCTGCGTGCATTTATAAATAAGTTGGCGATATTGAACTTTGAATCAACTCCTTCCAACTCTGTATGATTTAAGTCCTAGGGTGAAAACCATTCTGTGCATCAGCAGGAGTGGGAGGGAGGAGGAAACGTCTGGAAACAAGAAGAATAAGGGATATATTTCAGATCAATAATTCTATTATTAATATTTATGTAGAATATTCTGGAAAAAGATATGCAAGCAAAGACATATAATTACATACTTAATTTAAAGAATTATTAAATAGTAATAAATATATCTTTTTTTTTTTTATTAAATCAGCCTTATTATTTGGCGTAATATTTTTTCAATAATTTCTTTGTTTCTCATTGATTTGCAAGTAAATTTAAAAAAAAACAACAAAAACATACCAAGCTATCCAGAAAATAAAAACGTACTAGTTGACAAAAATGATTAATAATAGTAACAATACAGGAGAATGAGGTCTGATGTGTTTTGAAAACAGGTAAATATGAATTCTTTTTTGTGCTAGTTTGATCTAACGTAACATTATTTTAGTTGTTGTTTTCAAGAATACTTAAATAATTACAAGAAATAATATATTTTTCTAATATTTCTAACAAAACAATTTACTTGGATTACTTCGTATTTTGAAAATAATTTATATATATTATGTTTTCGACAGATTTGTACGAATAAGCTGGTTAGATGTTTGAATGTGTCCTCCTTGCAATTATTTAATATTTGTTTAACCCCTAATAACCTAAACAACCCTAACAAACTAATTTTATTTAAGTCCAGTTTGATATCATTAACACACATGTGTGAGATGTATCTAACCAACATTAACAAACTAATTTTATTTAAGTCCAGTTTGATATCATTAACACATATGTGTAAGATGTACCTAACCAACATTAACAAATTAATTTTATTTAAGTTCAGTTTGATATCTTTAACACACATGTGTGAGATGTACCTAACCAACATTAACAAATTAATTTTATTTAAGTCCAGTTTGATATCATTAACACACATGTGTAAGATGTACCTAACCAACATTAACAAATTAATTTTAGTTAAGTTCAGTTTGATATCATTAACACACATGTGTGAGATGTACCTAACCAACATTAACAAACTAATTTTATTTAAGTCCAGTTTGATATCTTTAACACACATGTGTAAGATGTACCTAATCAAGATTAACAATTTAATTTTATTTAAGTTCAGTTTGATATCATTAACACACATGTGTAAGATGTACCTAACCAACATTAACAAATTAATTTTATTTAAGTTCAGTTTGATATCATTAACACACATGTGTAAGATGTACCTAATCAAGATTAACAATTTAATTTTATTTAAGTTCAGTTTGATATCATTAACACACATGTGTAAGATGTAAAGCTTCGTTTAATTATGTTCGTAATTGAGGAAATACTGGCAACAAAATATAGCAAAGCATCAAAATTACTTTAAATTTTCAAGTAATAGTAATCAGAAAAACAGAATTAGGACTTCTATATTGATGTTTCTTAAAAAATAAAGGTTTCTCTGATATTATACAGCGGAGTTTATAGCGTGTTTAGAACTTTAAAAAATTGTTTTGTTTTTTTATTTTGAATTGCAGTAAAGTATAGAATGCTTTTCAAAATACAGGAACCATGCAACTTAAGCATGCAACATGTAACCTGCCGATTAGGCAAGGCATACTTAACTTTTTATAGATCCTTGAAAATGTTTTACTTAACAGGTCGTGAATTTTCCTCATTAAATGCTCCTAGTGTTAAGATTTCGAAACTGAACCTCGTTTATGATATAACAAATATATTATATCTATTTTCCGCTCTTCTGTAAATAGTAATTTCTATTGAAATATTCGTGAACTTATTAATATAAATAACCTTTTTGGTAACCATAATAAGTAATTAATGAACAAATGAAATGGTAGTTAATTAAAGGCCTTGATCAAAATAAAATTTGTAACTATATTTCCAACTTAGTATATGTTCTGGACATCAACTCTGCTGTAGACAAAACACATTAGACATTTTTTTCCCTTTGAAAAGACATAAAAATATTGAGCTTTTTTTTTTAAATTGACAGAAATTAAGTAAAACGTAAATACACACTATTAACTCCGAGAAATCTCGCATCCAAAACCTATAAGCATTTGTTAATATTTTCCCTAAATTAGATCGTTCTCATTCTATCAATGAATCATAGGGTTTACGATATCTCTAATCTTTAATTTTTTAATCTTTTAATGATATCTTTAATTCTTTTCTCGTCTAAATTAAAAAAAAAATCTCTGGTGAACTTACAACTGTTTAATAAACACTGTTACTGTAGTTGTATTCCCTGAACCCATGAACTGTATTAACCATCACCTGGTGGTGAGGTATCTGAGGTGGAACTGTATTAGCCATTTTGTGCTCCTTTTTCCACTTCATTCTACGATTCTGGAACCAGATTTTGATCTGTCGTTCACTCAGACAGAGGGCGTGGGCGATCTCTATTCTTCTGCGTCGAGTCAGGTAACGGTTGAAATGAAATTCTTTTTCCAATTCCAAAGTTTGGTAGCGAGTGTACGATGTTCTTTGACGTTTGGTTTCACCCATCGCATTTACTCCATCTATACATAAAAAAAAGAACTGTTTGTGTATTATGAAAATATACGGAACTCAAATAAGTGAAAAGAAAAAGATGTTAATCATAAGCTTTCCATACCACTTGAAAAATATGTTAATCCTTAGCTTTCCATACCACTTGAAAAATATGTTAATCATAAGCTTTCCATACCACTTGAAAAATATGTTAATCATAAGCTTTCCATACCACTTGAAAAATATGATAATCATAAGCTTTCCATACCACTTGAAAAATATGTTAATCATAAGCTTTCCATACCACTTGAAAAATATGTTAATCATAAGCTTTTCATACCACTTGAAAAATATGTTAATCATAAGCTTTCCATACCACTTGAAAAATATGTTAATCATAAGCTTTCCATACCACTTGAAAGAGTAAAACAGAAACTACGTTTGAAAATTCCTGCATTATACTGTTATTGGTAGAATTATTTTATAAGTATTTCTGTAAATTATCTGTTTCATATTACACAATAATTACAGCAATAAATATTTTTCTCCCCCTAGTGTCGAATTTCTTCTTCTCTCTAACAGTTATTGTTAACGCTACAACTCTTCCTTACCAAGCTCTGCATTCCCTGACAGGTTTTATAGCCACCATAAAACTGTCTTTCTAGTTGGGCTGGGCATTCTAAAGCTCGTTTAGTTTTATGGCTAGATTCTCGTTCGCTGGAAGCTAAGCTCTTTTCTTTGGGTCAAGAAAGTGACAAAATTATGGCCTTGCGGAAAGTTTTATAGGACTAACGTGGCGCGTGTTATGGGAGAAGGGAGGAGAAACCTGGTCTGACAGCACTTGGCCGTGGAATATTTACTGCATTTCTCTACACTGAAAAGTGGCTGCAAGAGCTCCTGCATGCTCACACCGCGAAAGTTACCCTGCCTCAGCGGAGATCTGCAGAACCGTAAGGACATCGATATTTACTCATTGGAAAGGAAGAGTTGGCGATTTTAATTGTGAACCATAATAGCTGAGTCTACTTACTCTGTCCAACGTGGGTCTTCCTCATCCACGGGTAAATGTGAGGCTGGTTAGACGACTCGTTTCCTTTTTGTTGGTTGTTCTGAGTTTGAGCTGGTTGGTTTGATTGGCTTTGTTGTGATTGCGAACTTTGTTGCTGCTGTGGTTGTTGTCCCGGTGACTGTGACTGCTGATGTCCACCTGTTGGCTGAGGTTGAGACTGCCGCGGAGGTTGTGGTGAACTTCGGGGTTTCGGGCTGGTCGGAGCCGGCTGCTGTGAACTGGAAGTCGTACTTAGGTCCTGCGGTGATGCCGCGCTGGGCTCTGCATATTTGCAGCTCGGTACCGGTGTTACTGATGGTGTCGGCGTTCTCGGACTTGGGCTGGGATTAGGGTGACTTAGACGCTGACTGCAACTATTGAAATGCGTATGATCCCCATTCTGTAGGGGAGGAACTGTAGGTTGAGAATAAGGTCCATAGTGCTGGACAGGAGACGCCGGACCACTAAAACAACTGTTGTAAGCCGGCACCTGAGGGGTGTAGTAGTCCTGGGCAGCCGCTTCCTGCACACGGTGGCCGTAGCACGGAGTTAGAGAATTGACAAACTGATACGAGCTCATTTATCTGCTCGCCGTGATTTGTAGTTCAAAAATAATTGTGTCCAATATTCCACGCAATTTTGATGAATTATGTCAGTGTTGCACTTCGGAAAACCTCTGACACACTTTTAAAAGCACATAATTTCAAATATGGCACTCCTTACTCCCCACGTGATTCTCAATGTCCAATCAGAATCATGCAAAAGTTAAAGGTTAAGTACATAATCAAGGAAAGTAGCTTTTAGGAAACCGATTAATTATCGCGCCAATCTTTTCTCTCTTTTAAAGAGCCCCTGAAAAGTGAGAAAATTTATGTTTTAGTGATAAAGTAGGCTGGCACTTTAGTTTAAAAAAAGGCCCAAGGCACACTAAACGCTCTCTAAATATATTAACTAAGAAAATGATTTATGTAAAAGCTACTGTTCAAAAGAGAGAGAGATCAAAACGGGCAGTTTTAGTCAGATTTTTATTTTATTTTTTTCAGATACGACTTATTATTATTGTAGAGGATACTATTATTGATAGTGTCAGAGTTATCCGTGTAGCCCAAACCGAGCTACTGGCTAATAAACTTACCAGCAGTAACTTTGATAGCACTGCCACGGACTTCAGTCTTAGAGAAGATAAGGACAAGGAACTTTAGTTAAACAGTTTAAGCTCAAAGACTAAAATCAAAATGGTAGTTTTGAGTCTCGTGTTATGTAGACAGTTCCTTGAAGATTCAGGGTGGAGACATCGTGCTCATCCAGTCACAGATGGCTGTACACTACCAGAACCCTTGGTTTATAGCCTGCCGTGTCTCAGTCGTCTTGAAAACGTGGTCTTAGGCGTGACTGGGTGTTTCTCTGTATGCTCTGTGTCTCTCTCTCCAGGCACGGGCCTTGGTCTGGCAGGGGCCGCGTGTTACACGCCTGATAACGTGCTCCAAGTTTCCAGAGGCCAGGTTCGATATGCTTGGGGACTGCCAGCTCTCCGGTCTCAGAAATCCAGCCTTTTCCTACTGCTCATTTTCTTTCGTGATCGATACCTTTCTGGGCGAATGAGACGCTCAGAACATTCCGAAACCCAGCAACCACATTATAATTTCTTCCCCCTCAATTAATAACTGCCAGAATTCTCCAACTATCTCTTCCCTGTTCCTTTCTCATTCGTCTTTAGGTCCCAGGAACGAGAGTATGAGAGATGTCCGAATACGCATGATCAGGATATAGCATCTAGTTCAAATAAATAAAATATATATAAAAAAAAAAACGTGTTCAAATTTCTTGGCTACAGAACACGTGACAAACCATATACGCGTGTTTTAGAGCATCTTCTGCTCAGCACATGAATTATTTATTACTGGCCTACGTCAGAGACAACAGAAGCTACGAGTTGTCACAAGGCCCCCAGAGGTAAGTTGTCTGCCATTCTAGCACGATCACAACGACTTGCCCCTTTTCTTCTATTCCGTTCCATCGGCTTATTCCCTGGTAAACACGGCTATATACACCATTTTATCGTTACCTCACAAAACACAAGGTACATACATGTTTAGGAGTTCCACACTGTTATCACTTGCATAAGACTTAGAAGAGTAAGTTACGTTTATTTATTATATAAGGAAACGTCCCTGGTTTAAATATCTTTTTTTTTCCCCATAAAATATGGTGTAGTTTTTCGGTGTTTGTACAACTTTTTACTAAGAATCACATGCGCGCTTTCCCCCTGTTTAAAACGATCTTGTTCTGATTACCAACGCTTTGAAATGTTAACTGTCATAAGCTGTTTGTTTATCCGGAGTTTTTACACGACCGAGGATTTGTTAATGTAGTTTATTTCTGCCAGATGACACCCTCTGCCTTGACGGAAACAGCGCTGTTTTTATCGGCTTCAAACCTACTCAGCGCTTCGGGAAAAGTAGCTTTAACCGAAGCGGCTAGACAGTAAATATGAACGTGGATTAACAATAGAGACTGTTTAGCTACGGGTTGTATGTATATGTGAGTGATATATTTTAAAACTTTTTTAAACCACGATGTTAAGCAGGTGTATCATGAATCTGAGTGCACCTCTATTTGTTTCATACATCCAAACATACACCTGAACTTGAAAAGTGTAGCTATTTGTGCTAAAGCTATAGACAACGTTTTGTATTACCTTATATATATCGGTTTAGTAGTGGTAACAAGTATCCAACACATAACTGTAACGCCATGAACACCGTTTTAGTTGTGTTACATTAGACATCAGTCTAGTAGTGGTAATAACTGTAACAACTACTGAGCTATGAACATCGTTTTAGTTGTGTTACATTAGACATCAGTCTAGTAGTGGTAAGATATAACTAACCAACACGTAACTGTGACAGATGCAAAACTATGAACACCGTTTTAATTGTGTTACCTTAGACATTAGTCTAGTAGTGGTAATAACTGTAACAACTACTGAGTTATGAATACCGTTTTAGTTGTGTTACCTTAGACATCAGTCTAGTAGTGGTAAGACATAACTAACCAACACGTAACTGTGACAGATGTAAAGCTATGAACACCGTTTTAGTTGTGTTACCTTAGACATTAGTCTAGTAGTGGTAATAACTGTAACAACTACTGAGTTATGAATACCGTTTTAGTTCTGTTACCTTAGGCAACAGTCTAGTAGTGGTAATAACTGTAACAACTACTGAGCTATGAATACTGCTTTAGTTGTGTTACCTTAGACATCTCTGTTACAGTTACGTGTTGGTTAGTTATGTCTTACCACTACTAGACTGATGTCTAAGGTAACACAACTAAAACGGTATTCATAGCTCAGTAGTTGTTACAGTTATTACCACTACTAGACTGTTGCCTGGGGTAACACAACTAAAACGGTGTTCATAGCTTTACATCTGTCACAGTTACGTGTTGGTTAGTTATGTCTTACCACTACTAGACTGATGTCTAAGGTAACACAACTAAAACGGTATTCATAGCTCAGTAGTTGTTACAGTTATTACCACTACTAGACTCGTTAAGTTTTCGTTAAGCCAATGTTTAGTGCTAATTTGGTTTCTACTCTTAACCAATTCTCAGAACAAAAATTAAATTAACTTAAAGATGACTCAATATTTGGTTTTACACTTGGTTACATTACTATAACATGGTTTTACACTTGGTTACATTACTATAACAATAAAGCCTTAAACACGTTTATTTTTATTCGTCAAACCCGCAGTTTTTATTAGCAATTCAATAATCTTTATTAATAACAATGAGAAAATAAACGAATAAGTTAAACGCCATTTTTATGTCCAAATACTCGATGAAATTAAACTAACGAATCTTGTACGTTTTAACTTATTGACTAATCTTACTATCTCAACTGAACTGTTACCCTAGTCCTTCCTTTTTTTTTTAGTGCACGCCATTACTTGCGCCTGCGCCTAGGCTCAGACGACGCCATAATGTCGATTTTAAATGTAAACAAAGATGGCGACCGGTTTTCGGTTGGATCGACAAATTTTGTGTTACTGAACCAAAGATTATCGAAAGGGGAAGTTTTCGGTTGGTTAGTTACGTAAACTCTGTCATTGGGAAGAACCAGAATTGCTAATTCACACGAAATTGTGCACTGGAAACATCTACTAACGTAAATATGTTCGAATATTTGAAACAAAAACACGATCCTTTCAACTTTTCAATAACAGTGCTTTGTGTTAGAATTTGAGTTTAACTGAAAATTTCATGTTTGTATATGAAAGTTATGCATATACTAAACAAGTAAGTGGGGGTAATTTTAGGGGTGTTAAAGTTTAAATTAGGGGAGTACTAACAAGTACAAGTTTTGGGTGCACATATATCACATCATTTAAAAAAAATTAATTCCATTGGCACCAAAAGAAGTGTATTTTCAAGTTTTATTTAATTATATAATTTAAATTTGTTTTAGGTTGAAAACATCAGGTGGAGCTATACTTATTTTTGGTGTCTATTTGATATATGCCTGTAATTGTGTGAGCTCATCATAAACATGTTGAGATATGTTCCAGAAAATCTCCTGAGCACGTGCATTTTTTGTTATTATAAGTATTTTCTGAAGTGGAGAATGGCAGTATTGATTCAAAGCAAGTGAAATAAAAAAGGTAATTGCTTAAGTTTTAACTGCAAGTTTACAAATCTAATAAAATAATGTGTATTAAATTACACTGACTTCCCTTCCTTCAGTATATGAATATTGCCATTTTCATTTCAAACTTACATGGCATGACATCTACAGTAAAGTGTTTATATTTTTACAGTATTTTCATAGCAAAAAAAAAATGTTTCGGTCACAAATATTCCAAGTAACTTCTTATTTTATTTATAATTTTCTGTTGTATATTTAATATGGCCCAGTGTCTATTAAACGCTATATGATATTATATATATATATATACTTATTGATGTAACATCTAATAAAAGTGATATATCTATGTATTCCTTGTTCACAGGGTATGGAATAACACTTACATACAGAGTGACTTAAGATGACATATTGGGAGACATCAGTGAAAATACTGTGCTTATATTCTATGTACCCATTCAAAAATATCCCAAATTCTATAAAACCACTCAGAAACACCAGTTCTACACAATAAGTTATTCTTTATTTGTATATATATATATATAGGAATATATTTTTACTTGGTTATCAGTGGTATACAATAATTGTATGTCACACTATAACCAGCTAATAAACTTACATCACATTTCACACTCAAAAAGGAACTTCAATATTTGATTTTTGGAACAACCAGCTAATAAACTTACATCACATTTCACACTCAAAAAGGAACTTCAATATTTGATTTTTGGAACAAACAGCTAATAAACTTACATCACATTTCACACTCAAAAAGGAACTTCAATATTTGATTTTTGGAACTTCTCTTTAGCAGTAATCACATTAATTTACCAACTTCCTGTGTGAGTCTCAGACACAGTGTGTTTAAAGAAGTAAGAATATCAAGGCCATGACAATGTTTCACGACCACGACGCACTAAAACAATTTACTCAATCCAAAACAAACAAAAAAAAACTGTTCTTGTTTTAATAATCTTCTATATCTGCATTATTGAATAATTCAGATACAAGTAATCACATCACTTCACTGACATAACTGTCATAGCTTAACAAATTTAATTTTTACGTGCACATCAAACGTTACTTATAGACTTCACACATTCCTCATCATAAAATATAAACAATACCAGTGTATGTGTTGGTAACACATCACACACCTCTTATGGGTATCATATTTAAACATGTACCACTTTAAACACGTGAAGGCGACATCTATATGTGTTAACCTTTCAACATATCTAGTGTTAATATTCGATAGAACATATTTAATCCCTTATAAATACTTTGTTCTGGATATATTTTAGAAACTAAAAACAAACAAACAAAAGTTATTAAAGAAGTCAACACAACCAATTCATCACAATAGTGTGGTACATCGAAGAAACCTTTGGATATTCATTGTATTTATCTTTCAAAAGGTTTTCGGAATATACACACATCACAAGTACAAAATTTAGCAGTGAATTTACCAGAATAGTTATAACTATTTTAGCTTACTTTAAAAAAAAACGAGAAGAAAGATCAAATGAAGAAATCTTAAAAAAAATAGTTCCAGTACCCGTATTTTAAAGCAAGCTGTATCACAAATACAGGTGATCAGTCTGTGTACAGATATCTTACAAAACGTTGAGGTAGAATACTCTAGAGGTATAATTAACCTTTACTTACTCGTATGTTAAACAAATTATAGAATAAAACTTCACTATATATATATATATATTTACATTGGTTTTAATTATCTTGATGACTGTGTAAATTTGTAGAGAAGAGCTTCCGAGAAATTGGTAAATGACTAACACTTGGGAAAATGCTCAAACAAACCGAATGGCCATTTGGACTAAACCTTCTGTGAATTATGAGTTCAATAAAATGTACCATGTGGGTTGCTCGCCGCTGTCTTTATTACTCTGTAATCTCTACAATTTCCGCTTGTCTTTTTGATGTGCATGTGGGACCACTTATTTAGTTACTTTACACACAATTTAATGTTTTGTTGATGTCAAGGCATATATGTTTAGCTTCGTATTAATATAGTAGTATGTTATATATGTGCTCTTGATTTCTAAAACTGTTTGATTCCACTCATAATAGATACAAGTGATCAAGCTAATATGAAAAGATAGGTACA